ATCCCATAGTAGTGTAAATTATTTCATTGTTCTAACTGTTTACTAGAAATCATAGAACGAGTTTATTATGGTCTGTAACTGCCAAAAACTCCGGTTCAACGCGCGCTTTAAAATTTATTCACATAACGGTCGATCGCGCTTGCTAAAGGAACAAAATAATTACTAGTTATTGCAAAATACAAGTAGAAGGAATTGAAACGTAAACATCACACGGAAAGCAATCGGACAAGGAAAAACACTTTATAATTACAAACGTTGTATGATTTTGTGGACACGGAGGAAAACTAAGAGTTGATCGCAGTAAAGGAATCGACGTTGATCTCAGGAACTCTGATACTCCAGTGCCGTTACCGAGAAGCTTGTACAAAATGAAATTAAAAAAAGCAAAATTATACGAAAAAATCTAACTGAATATAAATCAACGTGAGTGAAAGAATGCGAATAACAATAAGGAAAATGCGCGTGCAAACACAAAAAAAGTAATTGGGGACGTAAGTGGGAATGCCGCTCTAACATGGCCATTTTAAACACTGGGATGACATAAACTGCAACTGAATATTGACAACTTGATACTTTAATCCGGAATCGAACACCTCTGGAAATTGTCGTTAAAAGAACACTACAGAGTGCAGGTTTTGATTAAATAGCGTGGCACCTCTTCTAGTTCGCACGCAAAGTTGGTATGACTCATTGTCTATGGCATAATCATAATAATTCCCCTTTCGACGGACAGTCATAGGTCCTTCAATGAAATCATACTGTTTTAATTCCTTGCGATATGTAGCATCGCTACTGCCATTCTTCACACGGCCTCTCGAGGTAGACGGTTTGTGTGGCGCTGCAAATTGCGATCCTCGATACTCTCTGACAACTCTTTGCCATTCAGTTTTGTTGCTTCGCAGATCCAGACCATTAATTTGTTCTCGCATTTGATTTGTATCTACATAGTACACAAGTACAGCTGCATTGTCTCCTGCGCCATACTGCTCTAACGCCCAAGCATTGACCTCGATGAAATCGACACCTACGTAAAATCCATCACCATCGCTAAAGTCTAGTTTTTCCCTACCGCATTGCAGCCTAATGCCGTCTTCCATTATGTTTTTAGCACTCTCGTGATTTGTTCCATGATAAAATACTTCATAATGTTCATTTAACGGTGATAGCTCCGCTGTTTTGTCCTCGATGCGCCTCATGAAAGAATCTCTTCCTTCCTGATTGACGTTCATAATTCTGACTTTCTTCTGCTGTTCTTGCTCACTTCCAGACCGAATGCTATGATCAAACCATTGATTCATGACGTCTTCTCTGTACGGGAAACGGCTGCATCTCCACAGCAGAAACTCTTGATTAAACATTATCTTGCTTGTCAAAGTGAAACCAATTTCAGTACTGATTACGTAAAGAAATTTCCTCATATCTTCTGAAAGATTGTCGCATATTTCCCACATATCTTTCAAATTAACTGCCTTAAACTGCCATAGCCAGCTATAGGATTGCTCCATCGATAATGCGTAGGGAATAGACATAGTTCTCACCGGCTAAGGGCTCTAAAATTCTCAGAAAGAGCAAAATCCCGTTAGATGCTCACTTGAGTGCAGCTTATACGACAGAGCTATCCTTGGTAAGCCATAAAGCACATCCTTTTATGGAATGAGAGTCGAGAATGTTCTTCCTGCGTGCCCCTCAATCAGTCAAGTGTTCTGATTGGTCAGTTTTGCCGCGAAATTATTGGCTGCAGGTCGATTACATCAGCTCCATCCCTTGGATCCATCATCACCTCCAATTGGAAAGA